CTTGATAACCACGGATGATGAACCTTATGCTTCTTTTGACGATATTAGTGATTTTGATGATTTCGATCGTTCAAATTCTGTGACATATGAGGAATATCGACTAAGCTTTTCTGTTAGTCGAAAGCTCTTTCTCACGTCAAATCCTTCAGGCCCAAATGTCCGTTCCCTACTGTTTTTTGCCACCACAGATATGGATCCAAGATGTCTTTATGATGTATCATTCATTTTCAACAACTTTAAACTTCTTAAGGTGTTGGATTTGGGTTGCGTGAATATGGGCAGTTCATTTGCAGCAGGAATAATGTTGCTTCTTCTGTTGAGGTACATAGCAGTTGCCGGTTATATGGACTCCATTCCATCATCATTAGCCAAATTACAGTATCTGGAAACGTTTATTGTGAAGGGATGGAAAGGTAAGGTTTTTCTTCCGATTACCTTCTGGAGCATGACAAGGTTAAGGCATGTTCATGTAGATGATCATGCTGTCTTCACCTTGCCAAATGAAAAGGTTGGTGGTTCCTCTCAATTAATCAATCTGGTGTCACTTTCCACACCCTCCCTTTCTTTTGGGGATACAGAGGAAATCATTGCGAGGTTGCCTAACCTTAAAAAGTTGAGTTGCATCTTTCCAAAATTGAGGAATCACTCCACAAGCTGCTATGAATTTCCAAGATTGGGAGATTTAACTCTGCTGGAGTCACTCAAGATACTTTACCGTGGCAAGACTCTTGATACAGGGGAATTTCACTTTCCCGTGAATCTTAAGAAGCTCTCTCTATCAAATTTTTATTTGCGGTGGGATCACATTTCAACGATTGGAGCACTGGAAAATCTTGAGGTTCTCAAGTTAGTTTCAATAACTTTTGAGGATACTACATGGGAAATGGGGGATGACGAGTTCTCAGAACTCAAATTCTTGAAATTAGACGCTGTTAACATTGTTGAATGGAATGCCTCCAGCGATCACTTGCCTAAGCTTCAGCAGTTGGTGCTACGGAAATGTGAGAAGCTCAAGGGAGTTCCCGTTGATTTCGTGGACATATCTACCTTGCAGATGATTGAAGTGCAGCTCTGTTGTGAAGCAGTTGAAAAATCAGTTGTGATACTTAAGGAGGAGGAAAAGCTTCGATTTGGAACTGAGGATCTGAAGGTCCTCATCAGTCACTAAATAATGATTCCAGGTATTTCTTTATTTAACCAGAGAACTTCATTTTATTTATCATATTTTTGCAGATGTACTTCCTGCAATTGGTTGAGGATTTTGGCTTCTACTATCTGGTTTAGTTTACTGAATGCTTCTTCAGGCTTCAGAAACTTTTGGTTGCTAGTCTCTATGTGATAATTTGAGTGTTGAAACAGCCATTTAGCGGTAGATTTTTGCTCCAGTACAATTTTCACAGATACACAGTTTTGTCCTTGATCCTTCAATTGCTACACTCCCTAGACTTGCCTGCAAGAGCGTCCTTGTGTCATTTCCCCATTGATTTAGTTCCGGAGTGATTTATGGTTCTTATTAGTGTTTCCAAATTCATTGATTGATAATTTTGGCAGAAACTAGCTCTATACTGCAAGGACCTGAAGGAAAACTAACATGAGCGTGAAAAATTCAAATTTAATGAGAAGAAACAGAGGTATACAGAGATGGTAGGATTAGCTAATGTTGAAGAGAATGCCGTATTTTTGGAAAAGTTCTCTTCTGCAGGTTCGATGAGTTGTCAAAATCCAATAATCATCATCAACTGTACAAATAACCATTTTAAACGAAATAAGATTCCTTTGAGAGTTGGTTCACCAAAATTTAAGATGCAACTCTTTGCCAGCAAGAATCCCAAACATATATGACCAAATTAGGCCCTGATTTGCGGCAGAAAATCAGCCTTAGATTGTTCAAACGTGTCTACACGTAAGCGCATATGCTAGACGGACAAACTTCATCTCAGGCTAAATGGCATTTGTCCCTTGTTTGCACACAAAATAGTGGACGAATACGGTGAATACAACTTACAATCAGATGAGAGATGTATTGACTTGTCAGAACAGTAGCCACAAAGTGATGGACATCTCTTTTGCTTCACATTCTTTGGCTACATGTACTTTGATATGATGCTAAAAGCTGGAAATGGAAAAGACCAGTTGCAGTTCACATATAAATCTCTGAAACCATAAAAAGGAGAAGCCAAACGACTCAACTTTGAAGTATCTTTCATTTTCACAGCATCAATTTTTGTTTTTTATTTGCCCTCAACTTTGATATGATGCTAAAAGCTGGAAATGGAAAAGACCAGTTGCAGTTCACATATAAATCTCTGAAACCATAAAAAGGAGAAGCCAAACCACTCAACTTTGAAGTATCTTTCATTTTCACAGCATCAATTTTTGTTTTTTTTTGGCCCTCCTGCTTTTCTTGTGGGAAGATCAGGAAGTTTTTTGATTGAGCATTTCAGCCTTTTAGGCCTAATTAGTGCGCCAATATTTGTAGTTGATGAAGCCCAGAAGGTGATGATCAACAGAGAAACAGGAGTCTTAGAAAATCCTGGAACAGAATGGGTAGACAATATTACCTCAGGTTCTGGTAAGAGCCATAGCAATTTTTCTCTATTGTGGACATTGTAGGGTTCAGCTTTCTCTTGTACTAAAGTAAAAAATTGATGTTCCAATACTTATGTGAGATTAAATTGAAATCGCATTTCTGTAAATATTCATGTTTCATCGTAGTTTGGAAAAAAAAAAAAACATAGACATGCTTCTGTATTTTACTTTATCCGTCTTCAACGTTATAGTTTGATAAGCTTCCAGTTGAGCAAATCCCTCAAACAGTCCAACTTTTTTACTAATTCATGTTAGGTCCTCCATCTTAAAAATAAGACATAATGGGTCTTTGAACAAAATTTTTTGGGTTAAATTGGTCCCTATGTGGCAGAACAGTCAAGAAAATTCAAATCTCACCACTACTTTGGTCTAATTTTTACTAGGCTACTCCACCATATAGGGACTAACTTGGCTCAAAAAAAAAAAATTTGTTGAAGGATCATTCTGTCCTATTCTTAAAATAGAGGACCAAGCATGAATTCGTGAAGTATTTGGGGAATTTGCTCCTTCCAATTAAAACAAATAGCCAACTTATATTATTAATTGGGCATGTTGATAGATTATCAAGTTGCTGCTGCATACAACAACTATTTCAAGGCCAAACTTAGCATGGAAAAGAATCCAAATTAACTGTATCTGAAGACAATAATATGAATCCAGAAGCTTGCATAAATTTCAAGCCTTGAAGCTACTTTCTTGATAGTAAATTCACATATGAAAACTTTTCAATGGAATAAGAAAATGTCTCATTTTGTAACATGGCAGTCATAAGCCATAATGCTGCATTGCAAGAACAAGTTGTCAACAAGATCCTTAACTAGAATACTGGGTAAATAACTGCATACTGCTTATGGTTTCATTTATTATCACATGATTCCTTTAACCTTTCAAAATATTCACATAATCTCCACTATAGTTTTATATAAAGTAAACATTTGACACAAAGGAGTCTTCATAGAGTCGTTATTTGAAATGCTAGTATTGCCCTTATTCAAATAACAAACAAAATTTTTGGAAAGGACGGGGAGGAACAAAGTTTCATAAAATTAGAGAGGAATTTTGTTGATACACATGAAACAATAGGGGGATTAAGCAAATATTATAATTTCATCACACATGTCTTGGAGCGTGTTTAGGTCATTTATTATGACTGGAGTTACATTCTACTCATTTTTCATTTCATATAAAACTATAAGGATTTATATGGTCATGTGATAATATATGAAATCGGAAAGAGAGAGAGCCGAAGGCTTTTCTGCAAAAAGCACATTCTTATAGCCAAGTTCTTCTACAAATGCCTATAGAAGTTTTCCTCAATGACATTTCAAATAGTTTAGTTTCCAATTTCTATTGGCATTTGAAATGAAATATGAAGTGGTCATTATCATGCTAAAATCCTTATAATTTGTAGATCGTCTTTTGGGTATCAACTTTTTTAATTTCAACTGTTTTATTTAGAATCTTAGCTATGCATTTGGAAGCCAAACAAAATAACATAAAAGGGGAGTTCAACATTTCTCAAGAATATTGTTAGATTGAATACGACAAATACCTTGCTTTCCACCTTAAGTAGTCAAAATTTTATCTTTGCATTTCTTAGCAGGAGAATATGTGTTCTCATATGCTTGACCCATTTCCTTGGTTATGCCCAATATGCTTTTCGTAGCAAGTAGGCAAACATTTCATTTTTTTTTTAATTACAATTACTTTATGTTACTTTGCAAGTATCAAAGTGTCAATTTCAAGAATGATCTTCTTTGAAGTTGGTATCATTTTTGGATTGAATATATTATGTAACACGCATCCTTTATAGGCCTAAAAAATATATATTTTTTCCAAGACTTGTAAATGGAAAGAGATAAAAAGAAGGCATAAAAGTCAAATCAGAAACCTTATGTTCACCTGGTTATGGTTATCGTTTCTACCAATTAAGATAGCATATTCTTTTTTCTATCTAGTAATTTTACTTAGAATCATAGCTAGCCTATTCTTTCTAGAGCAAATTAAGAAAACATTAGAAGGGAACTGAACGCGATCTGAAGATTGTTAAATTTCACTAGACAAATACCTTCCTTTCCAACTTAAACTATCTAAAGAAATCCAAAAATTTCTCTATGCCTTTCTTAGTCCAACAGAATGGTTATTCTTTACCTATTTCTTAGATTAGGCTCTACATGCTTTTTCTTCCAGGTAGACTGACATTTTGCTTTTTCACTACGACAACTTTTAGTACGTGCTACAAAAGGCCAAATAAAACTCATCGTCTATGCTACAAAAGGCAAAAAAAACATATGTTCCCAAATTCATATCATTCTTGAATAGCTATTCTTTCAAATTCATATCATTCTAGAATTTGCTAGCTCATATAAAACGCATCCTCTATAATACAAAAAAAAAAAGAAAAAGAAAATAGCATAGTTTTTGAAATTTGCAACTCAAAGTCTTCTTGACAAGAAAACCGACTCTTGAGAAATTTGATTGAGCATTATGGCAGAGAGTGTTGTAGGCTTTTTGATTAACCAGCTCTCAACCTTACTTGCCCAAGAGACCACACTTTTGGGGCGGCTTAAACCAGATGTTCAATTTATCAAAGATGAACTCAGCAGTATGAAAGCTTTCCTCAGAGAAGCTGAAGCAAAGGAAGACAATGATTCTCAACTCCAAGAATGGGTAAAGCAGGTTCGAGAAGTTGCTTATGATACAGAGGACGTTCTCGATGATTTTACATTCCGCTTTGATCATGGTTGTGCGGACGGATTCTGTGGCCAGGTTGAAAAGATCTATAACTCAATAAAGAATCTGAAAGCAAGCCATCGAATTTCTTTGGAGATAAAAGAGATCAAGGCCAGAGTTGGAGAGATTTCAGCAAGGCATCAGAGGTACCAGTCCCTGTATGGTACTCAAGAAAGAGCCTTCAGCACTTCTCGTCAGGCGAATGCAGATTTTGACATTCGTGCTCAGTCACTCTTCATTGAAGAAGCTCAACTTGTTGGGATTGACAAGCCAAAAGCAGATCTCATCTCAAAAATCCTTGATGATCATTCCCAATTGAAAGTAGTTTCGGTTGTGGGAATGGGAGGGCTAGGGAAGACTACCCTAGTGAAAAAAGTCTATGATGACACTGCAGTGAAGAAACAATTTCAAAGCCATGCCTGGATAACTGTTTCTCAAAATTTTCAGTTCAATATCATCATCAAGGACCTGATCCAACAATTGTACAACGAAATCAAACAACCAATCCCTCCCCAAGTGGAATCCATGAATGTTATTATGCTGAGTGAATTTGTCAAAGACTTCCTCCGAGAAAGAAGGTACATCCTTGTCCTTGATGATATGTGGAGTATAGATGCTTGGGAAGCTATCAAATGTGTATTGCCTGACTACAATACTGCTAGTAGTGTTGTATTGACAACACGAATAGCTGATGTAGCTTCTGCATCTTGTTTAGGATCACTTGACTTCGTCTATAAGATGAAGCCTCTTTCTGATAAAGAGTCTTGGACTCTTTTTTGCAATAGAACATTTCAGAGCAATGACTGTCCTCCAAATCTAGAAGAAGTTTCTAAAAAAATAATGAAAAAATGTGAGGGCTTACCTCTTGCAATTGTTGCAATGGGTGGTCTTTTGGCTTTGAAGGATAAGGGAAAGACAGATGAATGGGAGATAATTCTTCGTGGCTTTGGTAGCGAAGCAGATGGTAGTGGTAAGTTTGACAAAATTAGAAAGGTACTCTTCCTTAGCTACAATGATTTACCTCACAATCTCAAAAGCTGCCTATTATATCTAAGCATCTATCCAGAAAATTATTCAATTATTGTGGATGATATACTTGTGAAATGGATAGCACTAGGATTTGTAGAAAGGAAAGAAGGAATGGCATCCACTGATATCGCTATGAAATATCTGAAAGAACTTATCAATAGAAGCTTAATCCAAGCTCAACAGATACGGGAAGATGGCAAATTGCAGAGATGTGGTGTTCATGATTTTCTGCGTGAAGTCATTATCTCAAAATCTAAAGAACAAAGCTTCACAACCATAGCCACTGGATATTACACAAGATGGCCTGACAAAGTTCGACACCTAGCAATCCACAAATTCACTGATAATCCACAAGACTTTGGCAGCTTGAAGTGTCTTCGGTTTGTGGAAATATTTGGGTATGAAGATCCTCTCACAACTTCATTTTTATCCAAGTTTTTACGTGGTGGCCCTATGCTGCTAAAGGTGTTGGATTTAGATGGAGCTGAATTGGACAACATCCCAAAGGAAGTCTTCAAACTATTTCAACTCAAGTGTCTTGGTCTTTGTAGAACCAAAATTAAAATTATTCCAAAGTCTATTAGGAAGCTTAAAAACCTTGAAGTTTTAGCTCTGATGGAAACCAGCATAAAAGAGTTGCCTGTGGAGATTGTAAAGCTAAGAAAACTACGTTCGCTTTCCTTAGGCGGAAGTGGTGATTATTCAAATAACTTTGCAGCCTGGGGTGGTAAATCTCCAGATGGAATTGGAAAGCTTCTTTCCTTGGAGGATTTGAATATCATAGAAGCAGACAGTGATAAAACAGTAAGGGAGATTGGCAAGCTCATGCAGCTACGGCGATTATCCATCACAAAGTTGAGGGGAAAAGATGGAAAGGAGTTGCTCTCCTCCCTTCTGAGGCTGACCAACCTTCAAGAATTGTGCATCTCTTGCTTTAAAGAAGATGAGACCCTTGATTTCCAACATTCTATCTCTCCGAAACTTGGATTCCTTACATTACTATGGTTGAATGGGCGTTTGGAGAGAGTACCACAATGGGTGATATCACTTCAATCCTTGAGCATCTTACGCTTGTACAATAGTGGGTTCAGAGAAGATGAGAATGCAATAGGCTCCCTTGGATGTTTGCCTAGTCTAGTAATACTTGGTCTCATTTTTGCTTATGATGGGGAGACACTGTGTTTCAAGAATGGAGGATTCCGAAAACTCCAGACTTTAGAGCTTATGCAATTCAAAAGATTAAAATGGATGAGAGTGGAAGAGGAATCATTGCCTAGTCTCAAAAAATTGAACTTGGTTGGTTGTAAGCTGATGCAGGAGTTGCCTTCGGGCATCCAAAATTTGACCACACTTCAATGTCTTGGATTTTATGATATGTCCGATGAGCTAATGCAGAGAGTACAGAATTTGGATAAACAAAGTGAAGATTATCAGACAATTGCTCATATCCCTGAAGTTTGCACTGGTTACTGGATTGATGGTCGATGGGAAAAAAAGTTCCTCTAAGAGAAGAGAAGCTAGAAACCAACTCTTGCACTTTTCAACATTCATTGATATCCAATTCAGTCATCTCTTCTATCGGCCTTAGGTAGCATACTAGCTTTTCCTACTATTTCATTGAGTTCTCGTTTACCTTTTTCCTTCTACAACTTGTTATATTTGTATCAAATCATATCATGAAATTTCAATAATCAACCTCAATTCCGCAAAATATGTACATGTACATTTATGGATTTATATTTTCTTTTCAAAGTTACCTCCATCAAACATGTTCTGGTTATGGTGCTTGTGTAAATTGAACTTGAAATGTGTAAATTCTATTTCATCATGATATCAGACATTTATCTAATTTTATCCCAAACAATGTGTTTGAGAACAAGTCATTAAATGCTGGGATGTTTTCCAATTTTTTTTTTTCAATAGCAATGAACACAGTTTAGAACCTATTTCAATTCATGCGATTCAGATACCACAGGCCATCTAAACTGATGGAAGAGTTGCCTTTGGATTCTATGATATGTCTATTGAGCTAACGCACAATGTACAGGATTTAGATAGATAAAATGAAGATAAACACAATTTCTCAGCATACCCTTGAAGACAAACACAAGGTACAGGATTAGGGTAATGGTGGCAACTGATCCCAAACCTCAATGGACCGACACGAAATCTAGGCAGGATGGGTTCAATATATGTATGGAATTGAGTGTAGATGGGACAAAGCCCAACAATACCCAATAAGAGATGAGAATACACACATAGGTATTACATGGAAGTTCCATGGACCCAATCTATTGAGTTTTTTGTAAATAAATAATTTATTTCTGAAAATTTTTTCTTGAATAAACATATATTTGAATTATATGTTCAATGTACGTGAGTTTCCATGGTAGAACTTTATTTACGAGGCAAGATGTTGGGCTATCAAACCAGCAAAAATAAAATTTCTACACTAAAAAGTGATTCCGCTCACATTAGATGGAGCAACAATTCTTCTTTCTAATAAGTGGTTCATCATAAGAACAATCAGAATGGAAGAAGCCCCCAAAACATTGCATTAAAAGTTCAATAAAGAATAGCAAACTAAGATCAAAACTATTATGAACTTCCATGCATATTTGTACAGGTACAGAAAAATATAGATATGGATACGTCTTCCTAGATTTAGCCTTTCAACTTCTTTAAGAATGTTATTTTTAATCGTCGTCTTCAAATTGATTTACTTTACTCCCTTGGCAGACTAGACAAGAGTAGCTAATTGAAATAAGATTACAAAATTAAGCATAACAAATCAAAATATGGCATGGAGAGAGACCAAAGTTAAGAAACAGAAATCAGAAGCAGTTTTCAGAATTACAAATTGCTAAGTAATCATGAGGTAATGAATGCGATACGTATCAAGCGAGAAACTTTGCCAAAACTGGCTGCCTTGAGTGTCAGAAGATACCTACATGGCCGCTTGAGTGTCTCCTGTCCACATTAACAACTGGAGGGCTAGACTAGCAGTCCTCAAAATGGTGGAAGATAAAGACCTTCAAATCATAATTACCAATGTCAATATTTGATTCATGAATTTGCCTGGCTGACTCCATGGTAGACTCTGATGATCGATACACCTGAATAGTCTGCAATGTAGGAATTTCTCCTATCTCATATGGGATTTCCTTCAACTTTAAGCAGCCATTTAAGACTAATTTCTGAAGATTAGGGAAGTGACTACTTGAGGAGATCCATTCCGGAAGATCCGTATATGACAGTTTCAAGAACTTCAGGCAAGGAAACCCATGATCACTTGTTTCCCATTGAGGTCCATTGGAGAAATTATCTTTGATTTTGAGAACCTCAAGGCTTGGTAGCAATTCCAAGATTGACATTTCATTCCAGTTTACAAGGCTACCGATCAGAGTAAGCTTTTTAAGACTTGGTGGGAACATATGTGGATGAGGAAAGCTCCAAGGAACCATACCAAGGGTTTGATATTTAAATTTGAGTGCTTCAAGATGATTTAAATGTGAAAGATCAGGAAATGAAAGAATATCATTGCCCTTTGAGAAAGTCATATGAAGTCCCAACTTTCTAAGATTTGGAGTCCTTTCCAAAACTCTGTAGATAAAACCTGCAGGACATATTTGCGAAAGCGATTGCAAATTTTCAAGGATACCATCTTGTCTCCAAGGCAAACTGGCAGCAATTTCCATCCGACTATTCCTAGAACTTGAAGGACGATCACGATCTTCCATTGTCCCCATACCAATGATCTCATCTTTCTGGGGCAGTTTCGTTTGAAAGCAATGTGGACATATAGCCGACCATCCCCCAGTGGAACACTTCCTTAGGTCTTTCAAATGTAGTTCCGCTGAAACTTTTAGATGCCTCAGCTTTTCCATCTTAAAAATAGCCCAGGGTAAGATAACTTTCCCCCCTCTTTCTCCATCAAGAATGCAGGTTTCTAGGTTCCAAAGTTTGAACAGTGTTGAAGGTAGGGCCTTGAGCCTCCTAAGATGAAGTGCCAAGTCCCTCAAGTGAAGCAGGTCATTCAATATTCGGTCAGGGAAGTGGTCGAGTATAAAGTGCCTTAAATCCAAGGTGTTGAGATATCTGTATACTGCCAAAGTATGCCAATTGAACACTTCATGATCTGAGACATAGTGAGATTTGTATGTATGGAAGTATTGACAATGTGAAAAATGAGGAAAATGTCCCTGATACATAAGAAAGCGTTCATAGTCATTAAAGGGAGCAGCATTTCGTCCACACTTACATTTTGGCAGCACAAATTTCTTTTCGTCAGTTTTTTTAAGGCACAATTCCCTCAACACGTCATGCATATTACATGATTTTATTCCTCCATCAGACCTTCTCTTTGCTACTGTAACAAGACTTCTATTAACAAGATCCATTAGGTAATCCTCTGCTACATCCTCTAGTCTCTTTCCTTCAGTTTCCTGAATAAAGCCCTCTGCAATCCATGATTGGAATAGCCTCGTCACAAGGATATCAGAAATTTCAGGAAGTGATCCTAGATACAGAAAGCAGGTTTTCAGCTCAGATGGCAGGTGCTTGTAACTCAATTCTAATGTATCCATGAATTCCTTCGAGCTACTACTGATGAAGGACCCCATATTTTCATGAACCTTCCTCCAATATTTTTCATTGTTCTTTTCCCTGACAAGAATTCCTGCTATAACAACAATTGCAAGAGGTAGACCATTACATTTTGCAACTATTCGATTCGCTATTTCCATCAATTCCTCAGGGCAGCTGCTGTCACCAAATAGTTTACAGTTAAATAGATCCCAACTTTCTTTTTCATTCCGTGTACGTAGACAGTGGATGAAACCATTTTCTCTTACTCTTACAGCCTTCTTAATTCTACTGGTCATTAAGATCCTACTAAAATTGTTATCCTCTGGAAAATATATCTTCAATTCATTCCAGACCTTAATGTCCCACACATCATCAATCACAATCAGATATCTATGCCCCTTTAAGCATTTATACAACTTCTGTCCCATATCTTCATCACTCATACCAAAAATTGAATTGTTACGACTCATAATACAGCGTAAAATTCTACACAGTAAGTTTCTCATTTGAAATACTTGAGACGTACTAACCCATGCACGAGTATGAAAGTGGTATACAACTGACAAATCATTATACAATCTTCTAGCCAAAGTTGTCTTACCCATTCCTGGCATCCCAACAATGGAAATCACTTGACGTCGCTGTGGCCCTCTGGTCAGCTTGTCTTGCAGTTCTCTTGCCTCATCCTCAAATCCAATCACGATCTCACTGTCTATTATGGAATTTCCATCTATTCCGGACAAGTTTTCCTCCTCTTGCGAGTTCGTCAATCCAAGAAAGGTATCATCCCTGTGGCCGTGTATTTCAACAGATCTTATTCTTTCTACTAGATTACGAACAATATCCACCGGTAAGAACAAAGGAATGCAAAGATGAAAAGACGCATCTCTGATCATAGCATCAACTATAAGCAAGACCATATCAATAGCTGGAACAATATCCATGGCTAAATCACAATCTTCTTGCGGTGGAAACAAAAATGGTGCATAGCCATCAGTGGAAGCTTGCACTGATCTGAGGAAGCGTCCTATCGATTTGATATCTTCACCAAAAGAAACGATGGTCTCGTTAGAAATGGATCCTCGGTCACAAAGCAGCACCAGGTCCTCCAGGATGAACTGGACAGCCTTGCAAGCCTTAGCAACACTTTCGAAACTGATGTACAGCTTTTGAATACTACAGATCTGAGGCAGCTCCCTATCCATTTGGTATCTTCACCAAAAGAAAGGATGGTCCCGTTAGAAATGGATCCTTGGTCACAAAGCAGCTCCAGGTCCTCCAGGATGAACTGGACAGCCTTGTCAGCCCTAGCAACACTTTCGAGACTGAAAGCACGGCACTTCAAGACTATAGATTCTGTTCCCGTCCCCTGAATTTCTTCTTTTTGTTTCCGTTGACATGGGCTTGACTAAAAGAGTGGAGAAAAACTCAACATCAATTGTCTAACGCTTTGCAAGGAACTCAATTATGGAAATATCCATATACATAATCCAACATTTTACCGAGTCAGCCAAGGGGATGGGGCCGATATACTTTGCGCAGGGATTCCTGGAAATTGCGCCAAGTCAAAAATCAACTTCTGATACAAAAACAAAAATAAAATAAAGATTCTAATAAGCAATCCATGTAGCGGTATAAAACTTCAGGAGCTAAGTCCATGCTCCTAAAAACAAAATTAACCTAAAATTTTCTGCATGCATATGTCCAAAACTATAAAAGGGTAGGCTACTCAAAAAGTAAATATTGTGCGCCCACAAATAAAAGGGATAATTTCAGAAACCTCCTCTAAAGTTTTTGATAGTTTCACTTGGCATTGTCAAACTTTGATAAATCTGAGTTGCCTCCCTTACTTTAAATTTTTGCATCATTTACAACCCATTTTAAAATATAATATTAATAAATTCATTTTGAGAAAGTATATATAATCCCATTCCAAATTAACCTTTTTATTATCTTTCATTTTATTACCAAAAAAATGAGTATATTAATAACAAATGAAAAACAAAAAAATATATGAAGGTTTATTCTGATTGGACAAAATATAGTGCATTTTTTAAATATCAAGAGTTAATATTTGAAAGTTTATTTGAAGTTTTGGCAAGTTACAAAGACAA